AGGGAAAGAAGTCTTTCAAAAATTTACTCCCCAAACAATCAAATTTTTCCTTGACAGGACAAACATCCACAAGCCCACTGAAATAACAGATTTTAACAGGAGAAAAAAGGTTAACAGATATAAAGCAGGATAGAAATAACAGCTGTCTAACTATGCTGAAGAAAGAAAAGGTATTAAGTGCTTTGAGCAATAGGGAGACATTTATATTCTATCAGCTAGGACTGTATTAGAGCAGGAAGATGACTGATGACTATAAGTGTCACTGCTCTCAAAATAGTTGTATCAGCAGTGTACCACAAAATTTCTACGCTGGGAAAAGCACTATGGAAGGAAAATGACTTCTAAACTTGTGGCAGGGCACATATCCCAGTGGAAATGGGGAGAAAACTATTAAAGGTTTAATAGTAATGCAGTCAAGCGATCTGTATGGCTTTGTTTCAGGCATCACAGTCAAGTGTTGTATCTTCACAACTGGTCCACAAAGAGCCTTATTGTCTTCATACCTGTTCTTAATTAATTAGCTCCAGTGAACTACCACTACTAAGCAGATTTCAGAAGGAATGGAGATGAATATAAAATTGCAGTAAAGTTTAATGACTTTCCACAGTTAAAGAAGGGTAAAAATTTATGATTTAGAACAACTGATTCTTAGTATGTATATTGACCAGCTTTTTTTTTTTTTTAAAGCTTTTCCCTTTCCAGTGGCATTCATCTCTTCCAGTCTCTTCTCTGCTTGTGGTAACTTGTTACTTAAACACCACGCACAATTATATGAAGTTATGTTAATAGCCAAGAGATTCAAATTCATCCTTTACGCACAACAATTATGCTAAAAAAATCCCAATTAGTTGCTATTCCTTTTAGTATTCCCTTAACTGAATAGATTAACTGTACTGGAAGTTAACTGAAGGTACCAGGAAGGTCCAACAAAATAGCAAGAAGGCAAAGTATCATGGGGTGGCTCAGTCCTCCAATGAGCTCAAATCCATATGATGAGCCCTAGAGACAGCCAAATTAGTACTTCTGAAAAGGATATTGCATCCTACCACTCCAACAAGACACCATGAAAACCACTGTGAAACAGAACAACCTCCCCAGACAAATGATCTGTCTTATCTATTAGTCTTACAAACCCAGCATAGGTAACAAACAGAAAGAAATATTGTTACTATAGTGATAAACTCCAAGGACCAGAATAAAGGTTTATTCACTGTCCCTTCTCACTGTAGAGCTACTTGTATTTCATCTAGTATTAATCCTTTCATCTGTTCTGCCATCTTTTGGCTGTAATGCTCAGGTAACACCTTATAGTTCTTTAAGATGCATTGGAGGAACTAACTATAGTGTTAACTAATAGACAAACAATACCTAGAGTATTCATGTATCAGTGAGCAGTCCCAAACTACATGAAAGAATAAACCAGAAAGACTTTGTCCCTATTCTCTTAAGTGGTATCAGTGAAACAACTACTCTGTTTGATAAAAGAATGAAGTTAGTCTGATGTGTTGTGTATTCTGGTTTATTTATTTTTTTTACAGGGAGCAATTCACAGATGAAGTAAGCATAAGATGAATTTGAGTATCTCAGTCCCACTAACACCCACAGTATCAGTCTCAGATGATTAAACTCACTCCTCTCTCTACTCCTACTTCCTGTCCCAGCTGGGAGGTTCTCTGAAGTAGCAGTTGTTCATATACACCAGGGAACTGAGTCCTGACATGAGAGGTCCAGATCGGTCACCAGCTTAGAATCTCTGCATCAGTATTACACAGTGTTTCTCTCATTTCATAACATCTTTCCTCCTGCAGAGCTGGAAGAATTGGAATTGGCATACAAAGCCCTTGGTGATACAACATCCCAAGAAGCAGCGATGCTTTGTTGCTGACTACAGAAGCAGTAGATACTGCTGACTAGGATTGTTACAAACTGACAGCAAGCTTGTTGTAAAAACCTTTACTTCTTTAGATATTCCTGCACTACAGCAGATCAGGGAGTGAAGGCAAAATAGGTTTTGGGCTGTCTCTAAACCTAATATGTATTCCCTAGCAAAAGAAGTCCCAAGACACAAGGCATTTTCTACTTCAGTAGCACAAGAAAAAGCAGCAGAATCAACACTAGCCACTGTCTAAGTAAGCTCGCTCCTTGAAGACAATCTTATCAGATCAGAATAGACATTACCTCCTCCTATCTAACAGTTATCTAAATCCAAGATGATGCAATTTTCTACATTTGAATACTCATATTTGCAGGAACTCTCTAGTTAACTACTTTGGAAGAAAAAACAGCAACAAAAGTTATTCAATACATAAGCCTAGATGAAATCATTTTAGCACCAGATAATTCTTAGTTAAAGTCAGTATTCATTGAGATGAATTCCAGAAAGACACGAAAACCCAATTTATATGGGCAATTCAAGACATATCTTGAGGTTCTCCAAAAATTCTAGCTCACTGTACTAACAAGATAGATCAAGCCTTGACAAAATCTGGGAAGAGGAAAAGATAGTAAAGTGTTAGCCTCACTCCATCAGTATGAACTGATGATCAGTGGTCTGCAAGCTAAACTGTTTCCCGTCTTGCTCTGTCACTGACTCACTGTTAGATAAGGCACATTAATCTCATCTACAGATACGACCAGTGAGAACAGCTCTCATGGAATAACTCCTCAAACAGATAATCTCATTTTGGATTAAACTCCCTTGAGAATCTCAAGTTAACTGATACTACAACGTAGGATCTGTTACTCAAACTCTTGAATTTTATGAATAGCATGCAAAGTTCCAAACAGTATTAAACCCCAAAAGTTACCTTTGTGATGTAGAATTTTTTCAGTCCATCCAAAAATGATGTAAAAATGGAAGCAACTTGTGGTTTAAGAGCATGACCTTTAGCAAAAAGTGGGAAAAAGGATGTTAAGGCAAACAGTACTCTTAAAATTCCTACTTCAATGGGCAAATAAAATAGCTTGGTAGTTAGAACATTTTGATTATCAGAATTAGACTTCTCTCTGCTCATTTAGAAGATGATTTAGGAAAAGTTTATTGTATGTTTTAAAAGGCATACATACAACCGTGTACAAATATCTTATTTGACACTTTAATTAAGGCTGCCCTAGTTCAGATCTTCACAAGTATATGGCACATGGAAATTTTTAAAAGAGCACTTCATTGGGTTTTTGCACTACAAAACTAAGCAAAAATCAGTGACCTTTTTTTAAAGTTATGCCAAAACCACTGAAACCAATGCCCAAAAATGGTGCAAGTTAGGAGTTAAGCAATTGTTTCCTTAACGGTTATATCACTTGTGCAAAATTTTCTACATAAAGCTAGTAATTGCTTCCTTAATCACATATGGGGAACTAAAATTACCAGGATATATAAATGGTGTCTTGCAGTCTGTTAAATTAACATCTCTGCCTCAGGACTGGGTTTAATTGAGATTAAATTCTCTATTTGTTCCATTGTTTTCAGTCACAAGCAACTTCTGAACTCCCATTACTGCTTCATTTTAACACTCTTGTATCTGGCCTACATGGTGTGAGCCCAATTCATAAAAAAAAAGTTATGCACCATTTACATGATACTTCCTTCTAAAATATTTCAGAAAAGTATTTTCTCCTGAATAAAGCATGAGCTTTAGCAAAGAGGCACTCTCCCTGCAGATATGAACAAACCCCAAGGAGTACACCTCCAAGCACACAAAAAAGCACCAGATAACCAAAGGACATGAATTTATTATACCACAATCTGTAAAAAAACATTAGATTTAAGCCTACTTAACAACTATTAGAAAAATCTATATTGACACACCTGAAACTCTTTGGAAGGTTACCATATAAGCTGCAATCTCAGATCAAAGCTAAAAAGTAGAAGAATTATTTATTCAGTGTTGGGTTTAAAGCTTGTAATTGGTCAACCTTCTTCCCAACTAAAAAAAAAATGCATCTGCCTTCTGTTGTACATGTCAGAGATAGTATAACACAAAAAAAGAGTGACCAAAGCAATCAGCAAGACTTGCTGGGCTCTCAGATCTTACAGATCCTGATTTCCTTGGTTTGAAAAACAAGATTCAACTATCTCAACAATATTAATGCCATTTGAAGTGAAGATTCTTGACTGAGGCTTCTGTCCAAAACAAGTTTCAGAAATTCTGACTTCAACAAGTGGTATTAAAATGGATGTTTTCAAGGTCAGTCAAACTTCACATTTTCATCTTCTAAGTACAATCAAAATAGCTTTGTCTCAGCAAGACCTTCAGTTCTGTAAACTATTAGCTTTTGGGTAGTGGAACTTTAGGTTCTCCTCAAGAGTGCCTTGAGCCAGAACACATCTTTTGCCAAATATCCTACAGTTTAAAGTGACAGCTTTCCCTAAGAAGTACTCAAAAAAATCATTGCTCTGCATGTCTGACATTGTCCTATTTAGGTATTTGAACTAATTGAAATTTCAAAGTCTGTGTTCAGTACTCTTCTAGTAGCTTCACTGACTTTCTATTCCTAAAGCCTACAGCTTAGTTCTAGTTGCATACAGTTACGGCATTTACTACATCTGAACTTCATTTAAAAATAGACAGCTCACTTTGGACATTGCCTCTCTCCCACCCAATCATTGCCACATCAGAGTATTTTAAAAAACCCTGCTACTTTAAGGAGTCTGTATATCACTTGTGGTGCTTTTATGAGATTTAGAGGAATCAACCAACTTACCATCAAAGGTGCCTGCAGTCCAATTATTCTTTTTTCATACCTGACTTCTCATTGGTACTCTTAGGAAGAAAATCTTTCCAGTGCTATATTGCAAAGTTATCACCTCTGCTCCTTTACAGCAAAACAGAGGAAGCTCCTCCAGAATTTCAAACTCTGTAGTAGACTATATGCCAAGAATGGAAAGGCAGCAAAAAATCTTATGCATTTATATGCAGAGCATGGCTCTTTACTGGCTCTTGTAGTTGATATTGTTTTCCCAGAGACACAGATAGCCTTCTGTTTCTAAAAGTACACATTATGGCACTATCTGGAGTTTGAGCTTCAGGTTCATTGCCTTCTTTGTCTAGTTTTGAGCAAAAGAATTACCCCTAAAACGGAATTAAGGTACTAAAAATCAAAACCATTAGAAACATATTTGTCCAAGAAGATCTACATACTTACCAAACTGAAACTGTGCATTGTCGACAAGTCGAATTGATGCAGGAGCACATCTCTGGAGGACAAAACGAGGAAGAATAAAAAGATTATGTACACAGTTTTGCTTGAATTCATAACAATCAAATTTTCATTTAAAAACAACATAGAAAGTGCACTTTGATACCAGACACCTATGGCCATCATCATAATTGAAAAGAGGTGACTATAAGCTTGTTTTCACTTGAATAGCAACATCTATTAGGTATGTCTAGATATAATGCATTGAGAATTTTCAGTTTAAGCTGACACGGGAATAGTCCAAAAATCTTTGGCCTTCAAGTACTGAGTGTTTTTCTAAATTGCCATATCACTAAAGATATTCTAATCAAGTATGGTATCGAGCTTATGTTGATACGTAATCAAAGACACACATACATTACAAATCCATCAAAATTGTTGTGGGTTAACTGTGGCAGGCAGCTAAGTGCTACACAGCTGCTTGCTCACTCACTTCCCCCCCCACAGTGGGACAGGGGAGAAAATCAGAAGGGTAAAAGCAGGAAAACTCATGGGTTGAGATGAAGACAGCTTGATAAGCAAAATGGAAAAAACCACACCAAAAATATGCAAAAACAATCAATTACCACCAGCTGACCAGCATTCAGCCAGTTCTCAGGCAGTGGCAGCTCCTGGAAAATTCTCCCCTCCAGTTTTATTTGACCATAATGTTATGCAATAGAGAATATCTCTGGTCAGCTGGGGTCAGCTGTACCAACTGCATTCTCTCCCAGCCTCTTGTCCACTCCCACCCTACTTCCTGGTAGGAGAAGAGTGAAAACTGGAGAAAGCCTTGACACTGTACACACACTGTCCACCAACAGCTAAAATATTAGTGTGTTAACATTGTTTTGGTCACAAGTACAAAACATATCACCACACAGGCTGCTATGAAGAAAATTAACTCCATCCCAGCCAGACCCAGTACACTAATGCTCTACCATCAGACTGCAATTAAAATCCCTATCTTGGTCCAATCTAGGTTCTGCACTGTACAGAAATCTGAAAACCAGTAAGAATGGTTGTCTTCAATTAGGCAAACTTCTGGTCATACACGTGCCTAAGTAGTGTAATCTGTGATACTGAAATGTATGGCCAGAGGAGTATGATAAAGCCTGAATTTTAGGCTAGTCTTCCTCTAATCACATGGATACAGAATACTGCTCTATCACTTGATTTGACATGTTCACCCTCCATCATATCATTAATATATTTTCAGTCACATGATAGTTCTTCATGTCCTTTTTTCCTAAGATAGCTCACCAGGCAGGTTGACAGAAGGCTGGATGAGTGGTTTGAAATGAGATCAACCCACCCACAACCTGCAGGTTGGTTATTCTTACATTAAAGTAGACCAAATACAGACAAGAAACAGCTTTTCAGATAGCAATCACTGTAATTACTACCAAGATTGATGGAAGGGGCAACTGAAGAGACGAATAAGTTCAGGCTCAAGTACGCAGTGAAACAGCAGCAGCTGCAACAGAAACTTAGAAATGGAGCAACACTAAATGGCTAACAGTGCCTTTTTCCCCCCCCTTCTAACTGAGG